CGCCTTTTACTAATGGTGATTGAAACGAAAATCGTCTTCCTTTCGCTTTGTTAAAGTTGCAGTTTTGCTTTCTTCAAGACAGTGGGGGGTTGAACTAAGCTTAGGTAATTGGATTCTCGTAAAGCTTAGTTCCGCTTGTTAGTTGGGGGTCCATTTTTTTTCTCACGTTGTGTGTACAGATGTTTTTCGGATTGCATTGTCAAATTTTTTGGTGTTTGATTCGTCATGGGTGTGTCATTTTCTCAGTTTAGATAACGTAAAATTCCGTCATTGGTGTGATTTTAATTTTATGATTTTTGAAAGCCTATGAACTCACAGAGGCGGAGAAACTGAGATTTCCTGGGTGCTTGCACCAGGCTAGAGTGCATTTGGATTCTGATTTTTGAAGAAGAAGGAAAAAGAAAAAAAGGGGGGGCTTGACCCTTCGGGTCTTGCTCTCGCGAGCCTCGTGAGCCAGCGGGCAGCGGGTATGATTTTCTCTAGGCGTTTAGCTGGCGAGAATTTGCGTTTGCGTAGAGCTCAGCAGAGAATTTCGATTCTCTTGAGGATCCTGATATCCTGATGCGGTATTCCTGTTTTTACCGACTTTGACTTCCTAATTAGATTTTGTTCCAAATTCCTAATTAGATATTGTTGGTGGGTTTCGAGGCTTCCAGAATGAAACAGACTCGTGTAGGATCCGTCTAAGGTGTGCGATGCTGTTTATTCTGCCTGTGTTAGCTGCGTCGATTTTTTTCCCATTCTTCCATGCTCTGGAATTTATTAATTGTAAGGACAGCTTCAGTAGTATTTCAACCAAGAGACATCTCTAAAATTCGCACGATCTGTCTGTCTCCATTAACGATGATTTTGTGAATAAAGGATAGCAGGAATAATGTGGTGCTCGATTAAACTTTGGACGCTGGACGATCTGTGGAGCTGTCAAGTCACCTTATTAATCAGTTTACAAAGGTATTCCCGAGGTAAGTGAAGAGTGTTGCGGTATGGACTTCACCCCGTGAGTGATTGATTTTTTTTTTTTTTTTTTTTTTTTTTACTTTAAGAATTATCTTAATACTCAAGCAAGAGTCGTCATTTTAATGTTTGTTGAAATTTGAGCAATTACTTAAATGAATTAATCGATGTGGAAATAATCAGTGTTCTTATAGGGAATAAATACTTAAAGTTAGAAGAATTAAATAATGAGTAGTTATGTTAATGTACTTGTCAACGAAATAATTTCAAGATCTAAGTAATGAAAAGTTATTTAAATATACCTGTAAACTAATAATTAGAAAATTGGTACATCCAACTAAATTGTGAGTTGCGTAATGTTTAAAAAAATAGTACACCTAACATGAGTGTAAGATTTAAAATGAATATGTTAATTTACATCTTAAGGTTAATTTGTAGGGGACTGATCAGTTTACCTAGTTATCATATGTTTGAATATTCTAGAAATTAATAAATGTGTTTGATATATATTTTATGTTTCATTTGTTTAATTTAGTGTATTATTTACTGCGGTCTGTCATGTCCCTCCATTTGTTTGTGCCGGGAGGCTTTTAAGAAACATGGAGTAATTAATTGAATTGGGGTTATTGATATTTCCTTTTGCATAGGTTACTCACAACGCGAACCTAAAAGTTAAATTGTACTACTACTATACGAATGTTTATAAGAATGCCGATATGATATATGAATGTTTTGAATTATTTGATTTTTATTTAATTTGTCCGGCACCATAAGTTGAATCAAGTTCAAAGTTTTTAAAAAAAAGTAATTAAAAACCACATAACATATATATATATTTAATATATATACATATGTTCCCACTCTGTTATCCGGCGCAAGGAGCTATGTTTTTTGCTCTTATATGTTGGTAAATTGGGTATTTATCTCTTTAAAAATTACTAAATAATCTTATTCTTATGTTACGGTTAAGGCTTTCATGCCCTTAGTTAATCTGAATGTATGAGTTGCAGAATTATCAACTATTTAAAAGTTTTAATGTCGCTAGGCCTAACGAGGCGGCATTTGTTTGCCTTTGATACTCATGATGGAGTAATTAAATCAGTTGATGCATGAACTTCAGTGCATTTGTGTCCGGTGGGATCAAAATTTAACTTTTGATTCTGTGCACCGGAAGTTTATTCTTACTGCCCGTTGACCGAATTGCTTCTTTCGGTGTAGAAACATTAATTTTAATTGTAAAAATTGTTTTTCTAACTTTTTAGCTGTATTTTTAACTGTATTTATAACTGTATTTTAACTGTATTTGGTGTTTTAGTTTTTTTATGTACTCTACAACTTTTAATGAAGGTGTTTTGAGTTTTTATGTATTTTCGTATTGCCGTTAAGTGGGAATTGAAATGACTAATAGCGAAATGTAACTCTAATGCAGTTTGAGGAAATACGTTTAAATGAAGTACAACAAAAATTAGTATAATTTGTAGAGACATTATATATTTTTTGGAGAAGGGAAGATGAAAAATTAACAACCCCTTCGCCGGGAATCGAACCGCAGACCTTTCAATTACGCGGTAAGTGGGCAGACCACCACACCTCGAAAGCTCATTAAGAAGGCGGAAGAAATACCTTATATACTTCCCCTTTTAAAGAGCGACTGGGGTTTTTAGGTGACCGAATCGCCAAATCCTGGGTGAGAGGAATCATCATCCCTTTTAGTTCGGCGCCACTCTAGAGATATTAGGTATTTTTTTGGAAACAGAAAAGATGAAAAATTAGCAACGCCTTCGCCAAGAATCGAACCGCGGACCTTTCAATTACGCGCTGAGTGTGCAGACCACCGCACCACGAAGGCTAGTTAAGAGGGCGGGAGAAATACCTTATAAATTTAATAGGCGGTGCAAGAAAGTCATGTGTCGTGCACCAGATTCGTTTACAGCATGAGCAAAAATGTAACTTTCATTACATTCTTCCTTGAGTTAAATACCTAACTATCTTGCTGAAATTCCATTACAATAAATGAAGCACTTTGTAGAAGCTAGACAAAAATGTTTCTATGCGTTTGTATTTTATTCACGCGGGAATTCTAACTGGCGTTTTTAAAATTTATTCAACTTATTCTCTTGAGACTTAGGACAACTCTACTTCTAATTTTTGTTGCACGGTGCAATATTCAGAAATCTAGTTTAATTGCAAGCCTCAAGCTAGTCATTTAGATGCATAAAATGAAGTTTTCTCTAAAAAAATGAAATTAAAATTTCCCATTTTAGAAAGTTTGTCTCAAAATACGTTTTATGCGCTCTGCAAAAAAAGTAAATCGGAATTCATATGACGTCGTACTTTAATTAAAAGGAAAACTAAAACTCCAGTTGTGTTCAAAATATTTGAAATTCACGTAAAGCTCAGGAAGCATATATTTATTCTTCTAACGTGGATCATGAAAACATTGCGTACATTAATTACAAACTGATGCGAAAAAAATTCCATTATACTTTTGTATCTTACGTAAGGCAATATGAAGATTTTTTCGAAAGCGTGATCTTCGCAAAATTAGGCGTTCTTTGAAGGGGAGTCAAACATACCATTTTTACTTCTAAGTGTTGTATTTGCAATTAAAATCTCTAACAAATTACTGTGTTTTGCATAGATATAATTTGCATGCTTTATTCTGTTTCGCATTTATTAAAAAAATACTTTATAGCTATAAGGATTTGTTACAAGGAAAAATAATGATGTCCATCCAATATGTCGAAGTAAATCGGGAGTAAAGTATTTCATTGAATATGAAAAATCTTAATAACACTTACACTTTTCCAGCAAAATTTTCATTAAAATTCAATTAATAATTATAAATTACGCTTTCAATTCTGTTTAAAATAATTGATTGAGGTAGAAGTTAAAAGCGAGAGTGAAAGCGTAAAAGTTTACTAAAATCAATTTGTGATAGGTTAATTTGATTATTAACATTAATCTCACCTTCTAAATCCATAGAATTCTGGTCACTATTACTGCAAAAATTGTGTTGTCAACAACAATAGCAAAACCAAGGAAGAAAAAAGAAAACAAAAGCTGATTTTTCGCGGACGATAGAGTAGGGTAAGTTGTGCAGACAGTTAGACATTTTTTACCTGAAATCTCAAAACAACAAATGCGTTCTTGCCGTTAGTTAATTTCCGGATCCTCCAGCTGCTGACTGGACGCAGTAACCACTCATAACTCGTTGTACACGTACGGAGAATGCGTATCAATACGCCTTATAATTTTTTCCACTCCAACGGTGAGTGGAGAGAGACACGAGACCCAGCCGAAGCAATCAAGACTATGGCGAATTATCTCAGTTCGGTGCAATTGAGATTTTCTGGTACCGGAATCATAAAACATCAATTACGGCCTCCTCAGGATTCCAGCCACTAATCTACCAAATTTAAACTTGCACATGTTAACCACTTATAACATAAGAGAGAAGTGCAGTATTTTTAATAGGTTTATAATAGTTTTAGACGCATGTAACACACTTTGTCACGATTATACTCTCTTTGCATTTTTTGCCACGTGTGATGCTTCTTAAACAGCTAGTTTTGTATATTTCCCATTGAATGACGTCTGGATTTAAATATTGGCAGATTTTCTTGTAGTTATAACAACATTTTAAAATTATTAACTTCTGTAATTTTTATTTCGCTAACATCGAGGAATGAACTCGACAAATGAAGTATCTGGTCACGTTCGGTCGTGGAAAACAACGCTCACAACCCAGCTTCTATCACTGGCTGTAAACATATGAATCCTTTGCATCTTTCGAACGATTTAATAAGAAATAGTAGAAATTATAGAACAGAAATAACTTCAATAAATCTGCTTAGAGTGTTAAGTATGCAAAATTATCCTGGTATAATAAATATTTGACTATTTATTATCAATTTGTTATCAATGGGGATATTTAAAATAAAAATTTTAAAAAAAATTAAATTTTACGCCGTTTTAGAGAACTAGACACACACTTTCCTGAAGTAAAAGAATCAGTTTACGTTATTCTTTCTAATTCTCCTGGTATGGTTCTAACTCCTGATATGTTACTCTTAATACCAGATCAGGTACATGAATTTATTGTAGTTGTCGTTCACTTAGGGCTTATAGGTGATAGTACGAATTTGCCTAGCTCGGTCATAATTTTGACGGAGTCGCCCAATCTACCATGAACATCTCGGGAGAATGTTTGACTCAACAGCATATTAAATGCCTCCATACAAAAAGACATGGTTTATTAACATTCATACCTTCCGAGGACTTTAAATTAGGGGTCAAAAATATGTTATCCAACTTCCTGATTACCACACAAAAAGGGTAGCAAAATCAATATGTTATTTAAGCCACTGTATAAAATAATTGTAATTGCTGTAACGCGTCTGTGTTTTACTGAAAGTAAAGTAGCATTTAGTATAGTTTTTTACAAGTATTTTCATTTCCCCAGGTGCTGTCGGAACCGAGGAAGAAGGGACATCTGAGGACAAAGATGCAGCAGACGAAGAAGAACAAGAACGACTGGAAGCCCTCCGGGAAGCCGAAGAACGAAGGAAAGAGAAACACAGGAAAATGGAAGAAGAGAGGGAAAAGATGAGGCAAGAAATTAGAGATAAGGTGAGCCCTTACTTTCTTGAAATATATTTTGAGATTTGACTTGATTTCAGAATATGGTAGACCATTGAGGCCTTAATTTAGATGGCTGGTTAGGAAGGTTGAGTACTATGTTTCAAATGCCTTGCAATTTGTTACTGAACTGAAATATTTAAAGTTTGCATAATCAATATTTGTTTTCTTTTTTATCACGATGTCCTGACAATACGCGCTGCAGGTTTTCGTTCTGGAGGATATCTTGTGATGGTAATGTTTCCAAAGGCAGATCTTAAAAATAGTCATCATCTGCGGGTTGCTGGTCTGTACGAATTTGTATGAACGAATATTTTAGTGCAGAACAGATAGGAGGCGTATACACATGATCCCAAGCTTCGTTTCATTTCGTTGGAATTAAGATCTTCTTTAATGAAACATTCAATCCCAGACTGATATTTAGTTTTAAACATTTTTCGAAAAAATTAGGATGTTACTTCCGATCAAAATAGGGTGGTATAGTAAATAGCAAACAAGAAAGCAAGCGATTTCTTTCGCAAAATTTCCAAATTTAATTATTCAATATTTCCACCATTAGTCTGTAAAAACAATTTATTATTTGTAAACGAATTTTAGAGGTATTGTGTTTGGCTAACTTTCATTTCAATTCCTCGTGTTCCACAGAGTATACCACGACGCTTACACAAGTAAGTTATGGCGCTAACAAAATAAATCAAATGCAAAATACAGCAAACCGTTTGTCACTATACTGTCTTTGGGCGATATATGGCGGCTTAAAATTCTCTGGAAACAAAGTCATCTTGAAGAAAAGATGATAAAAGAAGAAAGATAAGAGAAGAGGGGTTCCGTTACAAATAGGTCAAAAAAAAGGGGACTGAGCTTAAATAAACAGCTATCGTATCCTTTGCCTAAATTTAATAAACCAAAGCAACTGTATTGAATAAATAAATTAATGTCTTATATTAACATTCTATGTTGCACGTTTCCTAGAATTAACAGCAGAAATTCATTCCTGAGAAAAAAAACCTTGGCAAAACTATGATATCGATTAAAACTAGACCAGAGGAGAGGGAATCAATTTGTAAACTTTTCTCTATTTTAATATGCACACAAATACCGTCTATTACCTAAAGGGTGAGTTAATCCATATGGCTTATTCCTGGTTTTCATACTGGATAATCTTCAAAACTGAGGGCATTACAAATTACCTACAAAAATTGAAAACTGTATATTTAAAGGACAATGAAATAAAAAACCAGGCAGAGAAACTTTAATGTAAATTTTATTTTAACATTGAAATGACAGGTAAGGTAACGGCAGCAATCGGTGATATACCTTTTTCGTTCACTTCCAAAAAGGAATTGCTCTACTACTGATTTAAAATGCTGAATTAAATTATATTATTTTTAAGGTGAATCTTAAGTGGAAACAATCTGTAAGTGCAAGGTTTGATCACCATAATCTCTTTCCATGTTAGATAAATTAAGTCAGATATTGCGAATGGCAGGCTGGGATTCTGGTTGATCAAAATAACATATCCATCAACAACATATCGGTCCAACTGCAATCACATGGAACAAAAGTCGTTTCTTCTTGTATCAGCTGTCAGGATATTACCTCGATTATCAGACCCGAATCAATAACCTAGACTAGTGAACTGACCTCCATATTTTCTGATTTGAAAGCGTGCAGTTTGTTCTTTAAGGAATTTATTGCAAACGAAAATTACCGAACAGACTGCCAAACAATTCCCGATTTATATCAAAATTTCATTGCAAAACCTTCCATATTAGAATTTTCCATCAAAAAGTCATCTCACCAGCTCTTAGACTTTAAGTTCATATTTTAGTTGTTTTATTCTATTCTAGTTCTACTGCTTAATGGAACTGATTTAGGCCTTGTTTTAGATCTCAATGTTTCTTTAATTAAATAGCTCCATTAAGTTCTGTTAAGCCTCTAATGGTAGTACAGGAAGTTCAGTCAGTCATCAAAAAGGCATTGCAAACAACTTTAAATCAACAGACTGAGATATCTTTACTCCAAAGCTCCTATCACACTATAAGGTATTTCTCCCGTTTTCTTAGCATGCTTTTTGTGGTGTGATGGCCAGCACACTCGGCGTGTATTCGAGAAGTTCGAGGTTCGAGTCACGGCGAGGGCATTGCTCATTTTCCTCATTTCCTGCTTCAAAAAATCCTAATGTCTCTACCGTCGTGCCCAAACTGAAAAAGGTCTAATCCCCAGTCTCCCTTTAAAAAGGGGACTGTATAAGGTATTTCTGCCGCTTTCTTAGCATGCCTTCGTGGTGTGATGGTCAGCACACTTGGCGCGTTTCCAAAGGTCCGAGGTTCGAGTCCCGGCGAGGGCATTGCTCATTTTTCATGCTTCCTGCTTCAAAATAACCTAATGTCTCTACATCCCTTTCAATTAACTGTGTATGAACTTTTTAAGGCTATGTGTGGTAATCTTATTGTCCGAGGATCACATCATTTTATCATATGACGACATTCTCTCCACAATTTTCACTACTTCATATATAACGAATAAATTAAAAAGGAAAGCTTTTTCTAAGTTTAAAACTGAATTAAAGCAATTCTGGCCATAATTTTAAAAGCTTGTGGCGTCCCTGCTTTTTATCTAATAACTAACTGTGGAGGAACCTACTGAACTGCTAAGCGAATAATCGCTTAGTCTAGAAACCGAAATGTAAAACTCAAGAAGGGTTAATTACTCTTTATTGCTCAAAATAATGATATACAGTCGGCCCCTTCCTCAGGGCGTACAACAAAGCTTCTACTTGGGTTTAAACTCAAAAGTGTGAGAAATAAGAAATTAACTAATGCTTAACTAAAGAGATGTAGCCGAAGCTAACACAGATCTAACTAAGTTGGCCACTAAATATCGAGTTAGCCAGCGAAGCTATTAAGGTCCCGTATTACGGCCGAGCGTAGTAAAAGGTTAGAGAGACGTGGCCAAAAGGCAAACGCGCGTTAGTCAGAAACTCTTCTTTTCTGTCTTTCGAAGTCAGTGGAACTTTGGCTTAACCCTTTGACGCGCAGTGGTCGCGCCCTGAAACCACCAAATTTCGAATTTTTTTCTCCTTTTCCTTCCGAAATTTGTGAGTGAAAATCAATTGATTACTGATCTTTTACCTCTAAATAACACAAAATGACTACAGAATCATACATGTTTTAGGTCTTAGTTCTTCAAATTGGATGCCTTTTCAATTTTTTTTTTTTTTTTCAATGAGACAAACTAACTTTCTTTTATTAATATAAACAACTTTAAATTTCAAATGTTAGTCATCGCACATCATGATTTCTATCATAAGCCATAAAACATAGCAATAATTAAACTGCATATATAAAAAAAGCCTCTATATGTATGGCATTTGCTTTGTGGTTTCAGGGCGCGACCACTGCCCCACTAGAGCATTGTGTCACAAATGCTCTAGGGTTCAGTGGTCGCGCCTTGAAACCACTGATCTTCACAATGGCGTTTGCTTGCTTCTCAAATAGAAATGTTTTTTTACCCGGATATAGATAAGGGGTTTGGAATCACAGAGTTATTTTATTATAAACAATACATGACCGCCCAGTAAAAAGGTCTTTCTTTACCAAAGACTTTCTCTGACCTCAATAGACTTGCTCCCCAAGCTAGTATTGTGATTTATAAATTATTTCCTTGGTTAAATTATTTCAAATAGAAATTGCGTAAAGTTTTTATTTTTAAAATATTTTTCGAATATTTGAGACGAAATACGAATAAATAAGTATGAATGGGAACGAATGATCCGTACCAAGCCAAAAGACCAAGCCCCCCCCCCATTAACAAAAAGAAAAACATTTCACGTGCCGAGGAAAAGAACTAATAACGCTGGAGATATACCAGTGAAATTACATCCAATCAGTGTACATTTTAGCACACAGAAGAACACATCAAAGAATAAAAGAATACATGGCGAACCCTGAATGGGGTCTATGCATAAACCAAAAGACAAAAACGTGCTTTGAACAGTGTCACAAAAAATATTTGTTCTTTAAATTAAAAAAAAAAAAAAAAAAAAAAAAAAAAAACTACCTTTTTTTCATCTTATTTTACTCAGTTTTAAATCCATTGTAGCCAACGTCCTTTATTGTAGGCACTTATACTTTCACTGCAGAAAAATTACATGTTTTTTTTTTAATTTTTCTGACCATTTAGTTTGTAAAATAATGTAAAAATATATATATATTTTCTCATGCATTTTTTTTAAATTCGTAAATTTCGTCATTTATTGGAAACGCGCACGGAGAAAGGTAAGTTTTTTTTTTCCTATTTCCTAGGTACGTTTCAAAGTCCTAGACGCGTGGTGTTTTCACAGTGCGAGCACCACCCACAAAACAATGGGCAAGAGTCGATTTTTTTAAATTCATATATTATTTGTCTCTAGGATCATAATATTCAATTTCTAGAGTTTTTAGTTAAAAAAAAATTATAAAAATAATATCGCGCGCGTCAAGCAAGTCTAGGAAATAAGCATTCCGAAATTATAAGTTTCTATAGCACAAAAATCCGTTATAAATGCAAAACTAAAACCCTTAATTATTATATTAAAATTTACTCGTAAAAATGAAAACAAAACAAAATATATTAAGATTTCTTTTTTAAAAAGAAGAAAATTAAATGCCTCAAGTCAGTTATGTTTTTCATCACCAGAGGGAAATTAATTGTATTAAAGTGACTGTTTTCTACTTAATTCTTAGTTTCCGAAAATAATATAAAAATATACTTTTTTGCTATAAAGTAAATACTCAAAGTTATCTTTTTTGAATGCTCTTTCATCTGTATTTAATAAAAGAAAGGGAAATGTTCAATATTTTTATCACACAGATATAAAGGGTCTTTCAAATTTATTTTACAAAAAAAAAAAAAAAAAAAAAAATTATATTGCATTCTCTGGATTAGGGTGAATTATAAGAAGAATTTACATTTGTTAAGAAAACAGACAGCTCTTAATAGGCAAATGG